CTGGCGTAGGGGGAGTTGGCAGTGGAGCCGTTGAGGAAACTGGGCGAGCCTGGCACCCCAAGGCCAGTCATGGCGGCCCCCGCGTAACCATTCATGCTGGACGTGATTGTGTTGTAGTTGCTCTGCTGCGGGGTTGAGCTGGGCACGTAGCCCCGGGGTGAGACGCTGCTTGCGCTGCGCGGGTATCCTGGAAGTCAGATGGAGACAAACAGAGAGAGAGAGAGAGAGAGAGAAATTAAAAATACCAGCACTCCTCGATTTACGGCAGTTTGTTTAGTGACCGTTCCAGGTTACAACGGCACTGACAAGAAGAGACTTATTTTTCACACAGTGCAATTGCAGCATTCCCCATGATCAAATTGGTAACTGCGTCATGCCCCTGTCGGAGTCTGAATCTGAGGAGGAAGACGAACAGCTGACAGGGAGCGGGAGTGTGGCTCCGTTAGCTGTGGAGGAAACTGGGGAAGGGCAATGTCCGGCTGGCCAGAGCAGGGGAGGGGTAGAACAAGGGAGAGGGAGTTCAGAGGAAGAACCAGGCCCACCCTCTCTTCATCCTAGGGCATGCAGGAAGGAACGGAGAAGAGAGCAATATGGGTTGCATGGCTTACGGGGGAGGAAAGGGCCCTGATTCCCTTCTTTAGCCACAGCTGGGAAGAGAGTTTAAAAGAAATGCATGCTGAGTGCGGCAGCTGCTGGGAACAAACATGAGTCTATCTTGTGTTGACTTTGCTTATTTGCATTCCTGGTGTCCTCCCAACCATGTTGAATTACTGCCCCTCCTTCATGGCTGAAATTCCTTCTCTTACCCTGCCAAACTAATGACCTCCTCTTGCCTTGATTGGACTTACAATTCCAGTTTTTGTTGGCCACGTTTTGGACTTGATTCTCTGCAGCCAAAGGCTGTTCCTGGGAGAGTTTTTCTCCAGCCCAGAATGTAACCAGGATATTGGGGGCAAAGCTGGGAGTTAATAGAGGGACTCCTACTGATTATCTGGCTGTGTTGCCTTTGTGCCACGCCCCTTTGGGTCATCACAAACTGACTCGTATTTATGACGGTCCCGGGGCTCACGTGATCCACTTTTGTAACCTTCTGATGAGCCCAGTCAACAGGGAGTCCTGATTCGTTTAACGACCATGTGACTAACTTAGCAAATGCAGTGGTTCACTTAACAACGGTGGCAAGAAATGTTGTAAAATGAGGTAAAACTCGCTTCACCAATGTTTCATTCAGCAACATAAATTTTAGGATCGGTTGCGGTTGTAGCTCGAGGACCAACCTGTACCCTCTGACCCACAAGGAGATGGAAGGAAAAGAGATGGCGCTTAGGATGGACTGGCCAACAGAGCCTCCAGCTTTAGGAGTCGTCTACCCCTCACTCTCCACAAATGCCATATTAGGACGATCATGCGATGAGTGTCATCAACTGGGATGGCTTCAAGGACAGGTGATTCTTGACCTATGACTGCAATTGAGCCCAAAATTTAAGTCATTGCGGTCATTCAGCGAGACGCCCACGTGACCGCCTCACTCAATGACTGCAATCCTGGCTCTCCTCCCCATTGAAGCCATCGGAGAGGATTGCACATGGCGGTCAGGTGATCGTGGCAAACCTGCCACAACTTCGAACGAGTTGCCAGGCAGTCGGATCGCCATGGCCGCAAGTTCGAGTACCTATTCTACGTTCCTTCGTTCAGCACTCTCGTCGTTTCGAACATTCGTGGAAGGTTGGGTCTTTAAGTGAGGACTTCCTTGGCCTACCTTGTTCCGAGCCCTGGGTGGACTCGCTGATGTTGATGGCCAGCTGGCTCCCAAAGGAGTTGACGCTCATCATGCCCGAGTGCCCATGGTTCCCGGCCAGGGACGTCAGCTGGTTAGGGTTGCGCGGGACGCTATACAAAGCTTCGGCGATATCGGCTGCCCGTTTCAAGATGATGTCCTGTTTGAGTGCAAGAGATCAGGCTGCTCAGAACACGCCCTTTCCCAGCCTTTCAGCCCCTCCTCCAAAGTGTCAGGAATGCCACAGGCTGGGGATGCTGGGGATTGGAGTCCTAGCATATCTGGGGAGCGGTCCTGCATAATCCTTTCGGGCTCAAGCAGAGGCCTGGCAAAGGGTATAGACAATGAGTTCTAGTCCTGCCTTAGCCATGAAAACTATCTGGATGACTTTGGGGCAACCACCAGGAGACGGTGAGTTCTAGTCCTGCCTTAGGAATGAAAGCCATCTGGGTGGTTT